TTAAAAGCAACTTTAATTTTTTAAAAAAATTAAAATCTCTAAATGTAACCTATATACAACATTCCCTCGACCCCCAATTATTTCTGAAAAGCCTGCCTGAATGGGAAGATCTCTGCCTGACAATGGAAGGGCAAAGAGGGAGAGGCCAACATGGTTTCTACAGGCAGTGCATTAAGAAAGCCTGGGAGCAACCACTGAGAAGGCCATCTCTCATGTCCTCACCAAATGACCTTGGGAAAGTGGTTGAACCAAGAGAAGGGTCTCCCCAGAAGATCTTAAAAGCTGAGAAAGTTCATAGGATCCATCAAATAGCCTGGACCCAAACTGCATAGGGCTTTATAGGTAATAACCAGCACTTTGAATTGGGCCAGAAATTTCCAAGCATCCTTCTCTAACAGTCTTAAAAATGACTGGGAAATCATCAGATATCTGTCATTTACCTAAAATATATAATTTACTGCCTGGAGTACTGGATTTGATATTTGGTCCTGGATAGAAATCAAGGCTTCCAAAATGACTGGACAATTTGAATAGTCCCTGAATTCAATTTCTAGCATTTCCTGAAACTCATAAAATTAGTCTAAACAAAGCCTGAGCAGAAATCCTTAGGGAACACTTTCAGACCAGTTCATTGGGGTTGTCTGTAAGTAGGTAAAGAAAGTTCAAGCTATGCATTTAAGGTAATAAATTAACCTTTAGAATAGGAAAGCAATAAATGAGGTCTTGAAAAAGTATTCCAGACACCATAAAGGAAGATATTCAGTAGCAGTTCAATGTAAAGAAACTATACTAGTTGCCAATTCTAGGTGGGGTGAGGTATGCAGGATTTTTTCCTCCTAGTTCTTAGAATTGGTACCTTTGATTCTACTTTTGGATTGCTTCTCTGACCTACTCAGTCAGCCAGCCAGCCAGCTAGCCTAGGAAAAATACAAAGCTGTCTTTCAACTGGCTGGTGTCTTTGAAGATTCTGTTTCCCACTGTACAGCAAGTCAGACTTTTCCTCTCAATATGTTGAATTACAATTGCCATCATCCACATCATGGATATGCTGGCTGGGAGCAGTAGGAGTTGTAGACCAGCACATTTGCAGGCCACCAGGCTTGGGAAGGCTATGATAAGGATTCATCCCTGAGAAATTGGAGTTGGATGTGGAATGGATAAACAGCATGTGGAATGGTTGTTGTAGGTTTTTTGGGCTGTTTGGCCATGTTCTGGAAGTTTTTCTTGCTAACATTTTTTCAGTCTCTGTGGCAGGCATCTTCAGAGGACAGGAGTTAGAACTCTGTCTGTGTTCTGGTGTAGTATGGAGAAATGTTAAGAAGAAGAACCTATAACACGGCCAAACAGCCCAAAAAACCTACAACAACCATTGGTTCCCAGCCGTGAAAACCTTCGAGAATAGTATGTGGAATGTTTGGGAGCATGTGCCTAGTGGCGTTCCTTCACACAAGTAGTTGTGTCCATTCTCTCTACCTATAGGAGTTATCAAGAAGAGCTTCCACATTCTTTGTTAGGGACTTCTAAATACTCAGAGCTTGGAAATATTACTTCTGTTAACTGTGTCCCGAAATCAACTAGCCAATGTGGCCTCTAGTTGTCTGTGCAGTTATGCAACCTCTAATCCAAAAAGTAATTTTTTTGAGCTTGGTTAACACTAGTCCCTTGCAGAATTCAGTTCCAGAGTAGCAAAAGTGTGCCAATGCAGAGAAGACGATTGATTATGTAGAAGAATTCAACTTACAGCAACACACCCTTATCTCACACACAAAGTGACTGGATGCTGGGTGAAACTATTGGTCCTGGTTTCCCAGCTTTGGATCATTTTGCAAGTATGTTCAGGAGATGGCAATCTCCAGACTACAAAGTGTTAATGTGGCCGCATTTTGAGCTGGAAGTAACAATTTGCCCTCCTTCTAGCCCCAAGCATCTGTCAGAAGCACAGAGAAATGGCAGTTTTGTTTTGGAAACTGGCATCGGTTACGGTATAGCTCCTGGAAATAAAGTTGGTTTTTTTCCTCCCAGCTGCAAATGTCTACTTCCAATCTCCCTGCCAACAGCCTGTCAGCTGCCCCTTCTCAAAGAGGCCATTGTACCACACTGGCACAAAGACAGAGCAGGGTTAAAGAGGGAAACACATTCGCTGTTGCCCATTGGATGTTTATTCCTAGGCTGTGTGGATCTATGGCATCTATATCACACAATGCAGCCTGCCAGACCTTTGCTTATCCAACCAAGACGAAGGTTTGAGGATGATGTGCCCATGGAAAACAACGGAACTGACAGCATTTGGCCTGCTGGCAATCGTCTCACCTTCTGGCCTGCAGAAGTACCCACATTGCTTTTGCTATCTGCTCTGTATTTAAGGGGGGAGGGGGAATCCCTCCCAAATGTAGGTTTCTGCAGATGTGTTGCTAAATACAACTTTAGAAATGACCAGAGTTGGTTGAACACCACTACAGAAAAATCTCTTGAGAACTACAAGCAAAACCCTGCTTAAGCCTCCCGACACTGGAGAGGAAGACATCTCTCAGCTGGTGCGGTCAAATGCCCAGGAGTGATGAATGATGGGCCCTGCAGGCCAACATCTGCTAGGCCAAAACTTACTCATCCCTACTCTACGAGCCCCAAGAACAGGCATCTGAAAAACCTGTACAAAGGACATCTACAAAACAAAAAAGTTTGGTTTTACACCACTTTCTCATAATTCGTTGCAAAGAATCCTGCAAAGAATAATATAATTTAGGAGCTGAGAGAAAGACTACTCTCTGCTCAAACTGTAATTCCCATAATTCCTTGGGAGAAAAAGGCCACTAAATGGATTCAAGCAGGCTTGGAAAATGTCCTACAAACCTGAGTCCAAAACCTGAAAAGCTCCATTTCCATATATTACCTAGTCTCACTAGTGGTGCTGAATTCCAAAGGGAAATAGTTTTAGCAGACATCAAAAAAGTTTAATTTTACAACCACATCTTCCAGAATTTCCCAGCAGCCATGGTAGCTGTGAGATTCAGGGAGTAATACTCCCCAAAATATGCGGTCAAACATATATAGAGACCATAAGCTCTCTCTCAAAAAAAGATAAAAATGCAGTCAACATAAATAATTAACGATTTTGCTTCAGACACACCATTTCCCATTTTAAAATATTCCTTCGTATGCAAGAAGGTAAGGTGACTATGTTTTAAAGACTGAAAAATCAACCTAGATCTGCATGTACCATGCAGTGATCGCCATATAGGAGGCCATCCCTCCTTAGTAGAGCTTCGAAGAGGCCTGCAGCATCTTAAAAGCTAACATGTTTTACTTAGTGTAAGCTTTTGTAGATTGTAATAGACCACTTCATCAAATTCATGGCATATTACCAGAGTAGACCAATAGCTGTACATACAGTGTATTTAGGTGGAATGGCTAGAGGGGGAAATAAATGCAAGATGGACAGACATTGACCTTAATCTTAAGAGTGTTCCTTGAGCAGGCAGCCATTGGGATGTGGTAAGGACATGGTCAAAGCTTTGGTTTTCCCTGTAGTGATGTACGGAAGTGAGAGCTGGACCATAAAGAAAGCTTACCGGCAAAGAATTGATGCTTTTAAATTGTGGTGTTGGAGGAGGCTCTTGCGAGTCCCCTGGACTGCAAGGAAAACAAACCTATCCATTCTAAAGGAACTCAATCCTGAGTGCTCACTGGAAGGACAGATCCTGAAGCTGAGGCTCCAATACTTTGTCCATCTCATGAGAAGAGAAGACTCCGTGGAAAAGACGCTGATGTTGGGGAAGTGTGAAGGCAGGAGAAGGGGACGACAGGATGAGATGGTTGGACAGTGTCATCGAAGCGACCAACATGAATTTAACCCAACTCTGGGAGGCAGTGGAAGACAGGAGGGCCTGGCATGCTCTGGTCCATGGGGTCACGAAGAGTCGCACACAACTTAATGACTAAACAACAACAAGGACGTGGTAGGCTAGATAAGCAGATTCACACCGGCCAGTATCTGCTGCATGTGCTGTACACAGGGCTGCTCTGTAACTTGCTCTAGAACAGTGGTCCCCCGTCTTGGGTCCCCAGATGTTCATGGACTAGAAGATGTTCAACTTCCGGAACCCTTCACTGCTAGCTGTGCTGGCCAGGATTTCTGGCAGTTGCAGTCCCAAGGTTGGGAACCTCTGCTATAGAAACTTTAGATGCTTCAGAATGCTGTAACTTGCTTCCTATGCAGAATGGGGGACTGGGATCATCAGTGTCAATGCTTTTTATTCTATATCAATTGTATTGAATTGATGTATGTTTTAAAACCCAATTCAAGCTGCTAGTTTTCACCTTTTAAATCCTTCTCTTTTCTCCTGTTTCTTTACAGAGAATCACTCGCTTCATGTACATACATGCATACACACCTTCCCTCTTGTTAAGATTTTCCAGGAAGGACTTTTCAGTAAATGATTTAAAAACAGCTGTATAATAGTCCCAGCAGGGGGTTTTGACTGTGTCTCCCAAGACATTCAAATGCATTTCATAGTGAAGTCTGTAAGTGTGCGGCGGGGGGGGGGTGCCTTTTGAAGTCTGCTTTTCTGTTTTCAAAAAGCTCTCCAAAGACCTGGAAGTCTTCTGACAGTCAGTTGTGCAGTTAGGAGGTAACTTCAGATTCTGGCTTTAATAATCTTACTGAATACTGGTTCACTGGTTGGCAATGTGCATTATTTTATTTCAAAATATGGTAATCCAGTCCTGTTGTTTTCAGGGAGTCCTCTATGCATTCTACTGGCTAGTAACCAGGACTCTACAAGTATTACCCCAAATGGCAACACAACCATGGTTGCTGTGATATATTTCCTGTTTGGTAATAGTGATATTTTAGTGCTTTGGAGGTTGTGGGAAATGACCTTGGATTTGTGGAAGATAAGCCAGAGGTAATATTTATATATAAAGATGCTGTCTACAGTACCTAACTCTGGATATGTCTCATAATACCTTTCCTTTTCTTTGTCTCTCTTCATACCTGTCAGTGTGATGGAACAGTTCTGGATCTGAGCAACACTTCGTTGGAAGGCATTGCAGTCCTCAATATTCCCAGTATGTATGGAGGGTCCAATCTATGGGGAGAGACCAAGAAGCAACGCAGCCTTAACCGGATGAGCAAGAAAGCGCCTGAAAAGTTACAGTCCTCAGTGGTCACTGATGCCAAGGAGCTCAAGTTCTGTGTCCAAGGTGAGGATGCTTACTATTGCAATTGCAGTTGAGGGAGCAGATGGGAATTTATTCCCTTGTGCAGCTGCTGTTACCACAAAATGTTGCCCTTGAGGAACTTACTTCTGCCACTTTTCAAGAGCCAGAATGTCCGATGTTTTATGGCTTTCTTACAACATAGGTAGCAGCCTACTTCCTCAGTGAAAGTGCTGTGTATCTATGCAGAAGGGTAGAGCTTTGCTATCTGCAAGCTGAAGTGATCCATTGAGAAGTAACAATAACAGGAGTATAGGTCACCTTCAATTTCTGGAAAGCTATGGTCATGAACTCCATATACATCCAAACAGGAGACACTTTCATAATGCAAAGCCACACTGCAGAAACCCACTAGCTCACAGGCCAACATTTTCTGGCAGCTTACATCAGATGAATGAGCCCTTTGTGTTATGGCTGATCATGTTAAAGTCATTGATGATGTTCCTGATGATGATGAAGAAGCCAAGGAGGTCCTAATATTTGTTCGTCGTCGTTTAGTTGTTTAGTCGTGTCTGACTCTTCGTGACCCCATGGACCAGAGCACGCCAGGCCCTCCTATCTTCCACTGCCTCCCGGAGTTCTGTCAATTTCATGTTGGTTGCTTCGATGACACTGTCCAACTATCTCATCCTCTGTCGTCCCCTTCTCCTCTTGCCGTCACACTTTCCTAACATCAAGGTCTTTTCCAGAGAGTCTTCTCTTCTCATGAGATGGCCAAAGTACTGGAGCCTCAGCTTCAGGATCTGTCCTTCCAGTGAGCACTCAGGGTTGATTTCCTTTAGAATTGATAAGTTCTCCTTGCAGTCCAAGGGACTCTCAAGAGCCTCCTCCAGGACCACAATTCAAAGGCATCAATTCTTTGGCGGTAAGCTTTCTTTATGGTCCAGCTCTCACTTCCATGTGTCACTTCAGGAAAAACCAAAGCTTTGACTATTTGGACTTTTGTTGGCAAGGTGATGTCTCTGCTTTTTAAGATGCTGTCAAGGTTTGTCATCACTTTCCTCCCAAGAAGCAGGCATCTTTTAATTTTGTGGCTGCTGTCTCCATCTGCAGTGACCATGGAGCCCAAGAAAGTAAAATATGTCACTGCCTCCATATCTTCCCCTTCTATTTCCCAGGAGGAGATGGGTCCAGTGGCCATGATCTTACTTTTTTTGATGTTGAGCTTCAGAACGTTTTTTGCACTCTCCTCTTTCACCCTCATTACAAGGTTCCTTAATTCCTCTTCACTTTCTGCCATCAGAGTGGTATCATCTGCATATTGGTCTCTAGTTCCTCTCCCCCTTCGGAATCCAGCTTGTACTTCTGGGAGTTCTCGGTCCACATACTGCTGAAGCCTACCTTGTAGGATTTTGAGCATAACCTTGCTAGCATGTGAAATGAGTGCAATTGTACGATAGTTGGAGCATTCTTTGGCACTGCCCTTCTTTGGGATTGGGATGTAGACTGATCTTTTCCAGTCCTCTGGCCACTGTTGAGTTTTCCAAACTTGCTGGCATATTGAATGTAGCACCTTAACAGCATCATCTTTTAAGGTATTAAATAGTTCAACTGGAATGCCATCACCTCCACTGGCCTTGTTGTTAGCCAGGCTTTCTAAGGCCCACTTGACTTCACTCTCCAGGATGTCTGGCTCAAGGTCAGCAACTACATTGTCTGGGTTGTCCGGGATATCCAAATCTTTCTGATATAATTCCTCTGTGTATTCTTGCCACCTCTTCTTGATGTCTTCTGCTTCTGTTAGGTCCCTCCCATTTTTGGCCTTTATCATGTCCATCTTTGCACAAAATGTTCCTCTAATATCTCCAATTTTCCTGAACAGATCTTGGTTTTTCCTTTTCTGTTATTTTCCTCTATTTCTTGGCATTGTTCATTTAAGAAGGCCCTCTTGTCTCTCCCTGCTATTCTTTGGAAGTCTGCATTCAATTTTCTTTAACTTTCCCTATCTCCCTTGCATTTTGTTTCCCTTCTCCTCTCTGCTATTTCTAAGGCCTCGTTGGACAGCCACTTTGCTTTTTTGGATTTTTTTTCATTTGGGATGGTTTTTGTTGCTGCCTCCTGTACAATGTTATGAGCCTCTATCCAAAGTTCTTCAGGCACTCTGTCCACCAGACCTAGTTCCTTAAATCTGTTCTTCACTTCCACTATGTATTCATAAGGGATTTGGTTTAGATTATACCTGAGTAGCCCAGTGGTTTTTCCTACTCTCTTCAGTCTAAGTTTAAGTTTTGCTATGAGAAGCTGATGATCTGAGCCGAAATCAGCTCCAGGTCTTGTTTTTTCTGACTGTATAGAGCTTCTCCATCTTTGGCTGCAGAGAATATAATCAATCTGATTTCAGTATTGCCCATCTGGTGATTTCCATGTATAGAGTCACCTCTTGTGTTGTTGGAAAAGAATATTTGTGATGACCAGCTTGTTCACTGGGACAGTGCCTCCACTTTTAAGAGCTGAATGGTGTGTAGAAACCCATTGTCTAAATTTTGCTGTGAAGATACATATGTGGGGATTTTTTTCCACCTAGTTAACAACTCCTGTGTTGGAGGTAAGCAATGCTTCCATTTTAATGAGCTGCCTAGAAGCAAGGAATAAGTTTCTTTTCTTCAGATACAGATTAGAACGTCTGGTTTTGAATTTATGTTGTATTCACTAGCTGAAATTCTTCTCTTGCAAAATGTAACCCAGCTTGTGCTATCTGGTGATCACACTACTAGGGAAGCTACTACAAAGAAAAAGTGAAAAAGAGCACTTCCCTGTGAAGTTGGTGAAAGCAGGTGGCAAGGTGGTAGGTAAAATCCCAAATGACAGGGTAGTAAACAGGCATTTTGTTTTGTTTCCCAGAGCTCATTAGTGGTTTTTGTGGGACATGAGCCATTAACACAAGAGTTCCCAATGATTCCAGGTGTCTGCTTTGCATACCTTATCAAGACAAGGGCCCTAATCCTGTTGGTAGTCTCAACTAAAGTGGATCCATTGAATCACTCATATTTACAGAAGTGTCTACTTGCTGTTCAACCATAAGCTTTCGAGAACACATTACTGTTCAACAGTTGATAAAATGAGTATGCTGTTGTTAGGACTACTCATAGAATTTTGGCCAAGCTCTGAAAAGTATTGCCTGTGTTCAGTAGAACCCAAACCACATGCAGTGTTAGCATGTCAGATGCACATCTGGTCTGCTAAAGCTCAAATGTAGAGTGGGAAGTGATGAAGGTGTGGCTTAAATTGACAAACAGGTGAGGCAAATGTCAATGCTTCCAACCATTCTTATACCCACTTTTACCTTCCACAAAGATCTGATACTTCAGCCTGATGGGAAGGAATACCTGGGAAAGAAACTGCAGCAGTAAAGCCAATGTTTGGGAGGGACTTTGGGCAACTTAATGTATTAATCGCAGGCACTTTCCGATGCAGGATGTGCATGCATATGCAAAATGTTGAGATGAGCTTCACCCATCACCTCAGTGCTAACAATACAGATTGTTTAGTATTTTCCAATTTAGACATTTTTATAGATGCATATTTCTAGACAAAGGTCAAACACCAGTTGCTTGGAATCTAGATTTTCTGCTAGTGTTCATGCTTACCTCTTTAATGTCCTATAGTATTGCTGGATCTTGTGAACATGGGCACAGCACACCATGACAATTAGCTAACCCTCCCAGTGGCACTGATGCAGCATCCCAAAACTCATAATTAACATATCCAGCTAATCTCTTAATGCTTCCGACACTGCTGGTTTCCAGCTGCAACCCAGAAGAAATGGCACCTGCTTCTCCTCTGGACAGCAAGCCCAGGGAAGGGCAATTATGCACAGTATTTTCAGGCATCGTTCATCAGCTTCTTGTATTTTTTTCTATATAATGACTTCCAGAAACATTATAATTGTAGTATGTCTACATTTCTGCTGAAGAAATAATCATGAGTACCTAGACTTTTATTTGTATGATTCATCTCAACCAGTTTGTCCTATAAGGAACCTGTTGGCAGTGTACTTGTTTGTTGTTTGTGGTGCTCTATGCCACAGCACTCTGGATTGTCTGTTCATGGGTGGGATGGTAGGTGGATGAGAGATAGATGGATGGATGGACAGGCAGCCTTTGGGCTGAGGCTTGCAATATGACGCTCCTGGAATCTCTTCCATTGTCATCATGCTGTACTGTTTTCAGCCATGTTTCCTGATTATCAGGCTGAATGCACTGACTGCAGAGTCAAGGTTTTAGTTACACATGTCACACTCTAAATCCACAGTCTGTTGTAGGACAGTTGTTTTCAAGTACTGTATTGTCTTCCACCTGAGTTTGGTTAGAGACTGCATGTTTACACCTCCCACTATCCATGCTGGTCTCCTATGCATCTGATACTTTCCAGAAAATGAAACTTGTAAGTGAATTAAATGTTAACAGAGTTTAATGAGACTGGCCCAGCAGGCCAGGACAGGGCTGCTGGAAACTCAAGGTAGGCTCTGTGTAGTGAAGTAGACTTTGACTCATGGATCACACAGCTAGTTTCTCTGAAATGCTCTTTTGATGAGAGTGCCTGGCGGAAAATAAGACAGAGACCTATCTATATCCGTGTGGGAGAAAGCGGAAAGCATTGAAAAGGAGCTTGGCATAGAAGGCGTTACTTGAGCATAGCAGAATGACTAATTAAGAGGATGGTTTAGTACAGCTACAGGCTACAACACAAGCAGGAGAAAGGAAATTGCAGAGGTGGTGGTAAAACAGTGGCTCACTCGGTTTCCCTCCCCCTCTGTCTTTCTTTCCCTCCTGAGTATTCCCTCCCTCCCTCTCTGTCTCTTCCTCCTTCCCTCTCTCCCAAATATTTAAAAGATCTTCTGAGTAGTAAGGCATGAGACAGAATCAGAGGTGACAGGGTCTTCAGACATTTGCAGTGCAAACTTAAAAACAAATTTTCCAACATCATTCTAATCTGATTGGTATATTGTACAATGTCATCTCTTTTTTCCCCCCCAAATGAGTCTTCAAGTTATGGAGGCAGTGCCTGAAATCAAGCAGTGCTTGACAGTGAAGATCTGTAGGCCACATCCAAACTCTTGAAATTTTATTTCCTAAAAAATTCCTTTTCTATGCTGAGCTATTTTATTAGTTATATTTATATTTATCAGTGAACTTTAGATGGTGTACAGAGTTCATCAACTCACAATTTAATTCTCACCACCATCATGTGAGGCTGTTTAGACTAGGAGAGTATGGCTGGCCCAAGACCATGGAATGGGGTTCACAGCTCAATAGGGGCTTGAATGAGGTCTCCCAAATCTCATCCAAAACCCATGTTATTACACCACACTCATGAGACAGACTGTCTTGTCTTGATGTGTTGGGACAACCTGTGATGAAATTACTATCCCCAATGAAAATTCTCTTCCCTGGCTTAAAATCAAGACAAAGAAAACTATTTTCACTGATGTTTCAGCAAAACGTCTTTGAGCAAAACTAGCATCTTTTTCTTTGCACAGCGACGTACACATACCTAGGAAGCAGGTATGTGTACGCTGTGAAGTACACATACCTGTACTTCATAGCGAAGTATGACACAAAAGACACATGTAATTTTTCAAACGTCCATGCAAGAAAAAAGCAGCTGGCACAATTCTTCACAATTTGCACAAATATTGTACAAAATAAAATGCCTCGTAGACTTGGTGGGGAGAATGCCAATTTACTCTTCTTGTGCATAAGAATGAAACAAATGAAGATCAGAGCCCTTCGCCACTCTAACATTCCCCTCTTCCTTTACTGCTAAATTGCTTGCTTCACAAATGAGCTGGCATTTAGCAGCAATGTGAAGTTGCATGCTGTCTTTCTGTTGCCTGCATTAGAATCCTACTCAGTCATTAAGGAAGCATATTGAGCTACACTCATTGAAGCAATATCAGGCAAAAACAAAAGAAAAAATTTAAAAAACCTTGTGACATTTTAAAGACTAACAGCTATATTTTAATGTGAGCTCATATACTCAAAGAAGTAGAACTTGTCCACGAAAGCTCACATTAAAATATAGCAATTAGTCTTTAATGTGTCACAACATCTTTATATTCTTTATTTTTTATTATTATTATATTTTTTAATAAAATGCTAGTGCAGACTAACATGACTACCTCTTCTAAAACTACACATTGAAGCAAGTGTGCTAGTATTGCCCCATTTGGACATTGTGTTCAACATGAACATTGGACAGTCTGAAGATGGAGAGACTCCTCTCTCTGGATAATCATATGAGTCAGAACTCTTATTCAGAGAAATGAGGCTGGCCTGTGTAGAGAGGCTACCTGGTACAGCAAGCATAACCACTTCAGATGATCATATTTCCATTCTCAGTTTGATTATGCTTCCCTCAAGACATGTGAGGTTCCCATGTTTTCTTAATGACTGAATAGAATTAGAAAGTTACGGCTAACTAGCCTTACAGCTATATCAAGTGAAAGACAAAATGTGCAAGGTAAATATCTCAATATTTTAAGTGGCTGATCTTTGAAGCAGTTATTTCTGCTGTAGACACACATAAGGGGATTACTTTTGAAGCAGTCTTCAGTTACAAAATGAAAATGGCTTAACCATGTGACTTTACATGATCTACAAACAGTCTGATCTTCAAATCCCTTTGTCAGTTGTACAAGTAACAAGTTAACAGCTGAACTTTTTGAAGTTTGAGTTGAAGCTCCTCTGGGCCACAACCTAATTGCATTCCTTGTCTCTTGAGATCAGGACACCCCCCCCTCTCTCTCTCTGTCTCTGTCTCTCTGTCTCTCTCTCTCTCATACACACACCCACACACACACACACACACACACACACACCCACACACACACACACACACACACACACACACACACACCACATACGGGTGTGAGAAAAACACTCTGGCACCAAGTTTTAGAGTCTGTGTCATGTTTCAGAGATGGAACATTTGTTGACTGAAGTCCCCAAAGCAAAGGAGGAAAACTAAGGCTGAGGGATACTTTGAGGCCACCAATGCTGGTTTCTGAAGGCTTTTCAACCAGGCTTGGCTTTGGGAAATTTTAAAATGCTGGTTTGGGGCAATACAGAAGGGAAATGACTAAATGGAACTGACTGCAGCTCTAGGGCTGCAGGTGCACTCTTGGCATCAACAAATGGCTGGGTATGAAAGAAGCAAGCACTGGTCTGCTTTCACATACAGTTTATTTTTCCTTTTCTACTATTCATTGTTAAGTTGCAACACCTTTTCTCTGCATACAGCAAAAGGGACCACACATATACACAGCTCAGCAATGAGACCTGCCACACACAAAAACATCCTCCAAAAAGGGACAGGGGAAGGTCTAGCCATATATCACATGCACCGTTTTCACTTGAAACAGTGCAAAATTATTTCCATATATATCCCACCTCTCCTTTAGTGAGCTTAAAATGGAATGTAGATTAACCTTCTCCCAACAGTTTATTTTCACAATAGCCCTGATCAGATTAGTATTTATTTTTATTTATTTATTTCATTTATACCACGCCTATCTAGTCAATTGTGACCACTTTAGGCGGCTATGACCTGTCCAAAGTTACCCAATGAATTTTATGACCAAGTAGAAATTTGAACTCACATCTCGAGTCATACCTCAGCCCTCTCTAGTCAATACTGGATTTCCCTGAATTTATCTCATTGAAGTATCTCTGAAAATGAATTAAAGTTGATCATGAGTAGTACTGAATGCACAACTTGGATGACCATATGGCCTGTATTACAAAGACCTCTATCTGAGGAAGATGGCTGGATAACTCAGTGAGTTAAGTATTTGGTTGCGGAACCAGAGGATGGGAGTTCAATTCTTCTTTGTGGGTCCCAGAAGAGGAGCCATCTTGTGTAATCCTTGGCAAGCTGAACAGAATGCCCCTAGAAGCAGGGACTGGTAAGCCACTTCTGAGTATTCTATACCAAGAAAGCCCTGGAAAAGGGCATAAGTCAGAATTGACTTGGCAGCACATAATTAACTACTATAATTATTGCTATCTGATTGACAGTACTGTGTTTCAAGGAACCACTAGCCCTCCAGACATTTTGAACAGTATTTCTCACATTCCCTTATCACAGGCCATGCTGGCCTTTTAGGAGTTCAAACACCTGAAGGACCAAAGATTCCCCAGCCATTTGGCAGCAGCGGGGAGATGTCCTCTATTTGAATAATTGTCTAGCCCAAGTCCATTTTAAAGATACTGTAAAGTGAGAACACACTTCAGGCTGCCCATCAACAGTTAGGACCTCAAGAGCAGACTGAGTCACTTAACCATCTTGTTTCCCATGAGGTAAAAATATCTTGTATTTCTATTTAAATATTAACAGTTTTCTAAATATTCATCTATGCAGATGAATTAGCACATACACATTTTAAGCAATTTCTGTTTTTCTGAGAAGCATTTGTTCTTTTTAAATACGTAATTAGTTATGTGGCTATTCTGTGCAAATTAACTCCTCAAATCATTTCCCAGAAATTTTTATTTATCTCCCCACCCCCAAATTAGGTCACTTTTACTTGAATGGTGGCAACATGAATGTCACAGGTACTTATGGGCCTTGACACCAAGTGATCGACCCTCTTCCACAAAGTCTATGCCAATCTGTGGGACTAATACTGGTACTCAGACTTTTAGGGAAAGGCCCACAAGAGATTTTCCAACAAACACCCAAAGGTGACAGAGGAGGGTTCATATAGCAAAATATGGAGATCTGTCTGGTCTGTCTGTTTTCTGTTCTTGTTTCATCTTGAAAATCCAGCTGTAATGTGGCATATCAGTTGCTGATTCAGGTCATGTTAGTTGAGTTGGCACAATATTATTACATCTACACCCTATAATTTTTTCCTGTGGAAGTAAAGGAAGTATATTTATGATTCTACATTCAAGCACTCTACATTCAGCTTCAACATGGACCACATCAGGAATCATGGCCTGGACAGCCAAGACTTTCTGTTCTGATTTGACATCTTCTGTCGAAATCAGAGATACTGTACATGGGATCCTTTCTAAATAGCAATATCAGCATAGAACCTGAGAGCTTCTGTGTACAAAAAGTGAAGCTGACAAAGGGGTGTTCTAGACTTTGCCTTTTCTGGATTTCTTCAGCTTCTCCATGCGTTCTCTCGGTTCATCCTCTCATTCTGTTTTATGCTTACAAAATTCAAAGCCTATACTATTTTTTTTTGGTTTTACTAACATGTTTGCCTATCTCTCCTTAGACCTCAGTGATCAACTTCTTGAAGTTGTGGGTCTTGAAGGAGCTATGGAGATGGGACAGATCTATACTGGACTGAAAAGTGCTGGCAAGAGGCTGGCCCAGTGTTCCTCTGTCACTATCAGGTACCTACCATCATGGGTGTTTCTGACATCTCTTTTTTCATGGTATTTCACATCTCTTCTTCGGCAATGTACTCAAATGTTTCTTTTTTTCTCGTTTATGACACAATGGGGGAAAAAGCATACAAAGCCCATGAAATGCAGCATCTTGCATTTTAGAAAAATGTATTAAATTTATGTTGGAAGAAGGAACCCAACACTTTCTCAACAAGGAGAGACTTCAGAAGGTGATAAAATATTTTCCTTCCAAAGATGCAGAGCTGCTAAAACCTCATAAATTGATTTAACCTCTTAAGGAATCTCTGCTTCTACTCGTGGCCTCATTATAGTATCTGTTTGATCCTACATACTTGGGCAGATGAAAGGAGATGGATAAGTGAACTAAAGGGCAAACCTCAGGATGGGAACAGGTGGCTCAGGAGAAAGTGGGCACCCATGTTACTTGGGTAACTGAGAGTGAGAAGAAAAGAAATATGTTTTCTCCTGACAAGAATTGGGATTATATCCTGATTGTGAACAAGGGATTACTGATTTGGAATGAGGAACAGGAATAAGATATAGACTGGGCAGCCACATATAAGAAAAAGGAAAACAGAAATAATCATACTCCTACTTGTAGGTCAGCTATATCCAAGAATGAAATGATATGTGATGCTTAGTCATTTGTAGTTTCTCTCTAGTGTTCTTATAAAATGCAAGGGCTGCTATCTAAAGAGATTATATGGTTTCCCACCTATCCTCCTCCAGCTGCATTTCGCCCTGCAAAGAACAAGGACTGAAACAATGCATTTGAAAATAAGCAAGAGGGGTCAGAAACACGAAAGCATGTTTAGATGTGAACAACAAGCCCAGATGCACATCAAGAGCATCCTGATCCATTATAAATGTAGATTCGTTACATATGAATTGCAAGCAAAAAAAAATTATCAGCATTTTGGGAACTACATGGGGCCCGGTGTTCAGAGGAAAGCAGGATAGAAATGAAATAAGTAGTAAATAAATAGATCCTACATAAGAATGTAACAACCACAAACTGCATCTGTGCTCGTTGCAGTTTTGTGTATGTGTATTAAATAAATGATAGTAAAGTGATGGATCTGACATATATAAATTGACTGTGAGTCTTGAACACCTCAAGAGGTTGTTCACTGATTACCTCTCATTTTAAGTTCCCTAAAAATCCTACTAACCTTTTACAGTATAGGACTGGATTATATTGCATATTGAATTGCTGACAAGATACCATTGTATGCTGCCTTTGCCCACTATGTTCTTGTTAACTTTTACACAATGTCTCGTTTGTGGATTTTAGGACGTCCAGGTTGTTACCTATGCAGGTAGATGGAGAGCCTTGGATGCAGCCACCTTGCACAGTGAGTAGCTGAATCTCACAAAAACAATCTGGGATCTATGAATTGAGGTACACTTATCAGTGCCAGAGGCTATGGGAGCTGCAGGTGGGATTCAAACCTCTCTGTGATGGAAAGAGAAAAGGCTAAATTATATTCCAAATGGAAACAAAGACATAAAGCAGCTCTAGTGCCCCACCAAAGAACGCTCTCATATTTTTAGAAAGAGCTACGCTACTCCTATTTGCTTTGATGTCATATAGTCAAACCCTTTCATGGCACTGACAGCCACATTTGTATTCCTAATGGAAAAATCAAAGAAAAGTTAAAGGAAGAGAAAGCTATGGTACTTGTACATCACTGTAGCATTATGGAAATTATTGCAGACTGTTGGCCCATATATTGTTTTCTCAGTTGTATCCAAGCTGCTATCTGCCATCTGAAGATCAAAGGAAGGTGCATTAGACATGTTAGGAAATCAGTAAGGGACACAAATTGCCCCCTCTTATTTGCAAATGAATAGAATGGGATGTTAACAAAGAAGCATTTCAGTTGGAAATAAAAGTCTAAATTGAATTGTTAGTTCTAGCTAAAGAAGACTGAATATGAACTGGATATGTCAACAGATACGTATAAGTGTATTAATTCAATAAGTCTACTCTGTTTGGGACTAACAATTGGATATAGGTCAAAGAATTTCAGATTCTTGTGCAGAAACACATCTGTGATCAGGAATATTCTTCTTCTTAGTAATTTAGATGCTTCCATAATATTTATCTGATCTTAGAATGAATTATTTTAATCAATTAATGTTTTAATTTTTGCTACAGTGAGGGCCAATGTAATTAGAATGGTGACTTAATTTAATTAGATTTATATTGATTTCAAATTAAAAGTTACAAATTATATTTAAAGGCATTTTAATTAATGAGGCGTAGACAAGGTCTGGGCAGCTAAGATTAATAAAAGGATGAGCTGATCATGATAACAACAGTAGCAGTGGTGAGGGCATTAAGTGAGGAGTGTGTGAGTGAAGGTGTGGAAGAGAAAGCAAGGACACAGGTTTAATTGGCTGGGCTCGCGCAGCTCCACAACACCTTCCCCCTCCCAAACAGAACCAAGGAGGTGTAAAAATATTTTCTTAGAGTGCATACTCGGATTTCATTTTGCTTCAGGAGATGTTGTGCTATGACTGTCAATATTAATTCAAGGGGTGGGAGGACCTGAGAGAAGAGAAATGCATAGGCTTGTGTTGGCTGTTCTGAGATTCGGGGGGATGGGGTAGGGATCAGTTCCAAGAAGCTAAGATTTTTAAGCAATATAAAGGTGATGGGTGGAAAAGTGGAAACAGGTATATAACTCATAGAAAAAGTTTAATTAAACAGGTTTATAGATCCATTGTTTATGGAAGCCTTCTCCATCTTAGCACTTTATAGATCTCAGAGACTATAAATCCAAATATCCATATCCAGCAATTGAATGGTGTGATTTGTAATCCAAAGAATCTGGAAAGTGCCAGGCTGGAGAAGCCAATGTATAAAAAACCAGAAATGAATTTTTTTAAAAAAAGGCACTGAGCAGAGTGTAGTAGTCTAGAGAAGTAGTCTATCTTTGGATAAGTGGGCACAAATAGAGCAGATCAGAATGTTTGTTTGACTTTGGGGCAACAGCAGGACAGAACAAAGGGTCTTTGGCCTTCTTTGGAAGGAAGGAATACATCTACAGTATGTTTGTGTGTGTTTTTGCCACCAAGTTGGAACCGGCTTAGAGCAACCCTAATAGGACTTTCAAGGTAAGCGAGATATTTAAGGAGTAGTTTTACCAGTTCCACTCCCCTAATGAGTTTTCATGGCCAAGCAGGGATAAATGGGGTTTAAAAATTTAAAAGCAGTTTAAAAGTTTAAAAGCAGCTCAGTGATTTGAACTGAGGAAAGGGAAAATCCAAAGTATGCACAGCATTGGTAGATTGAGCTGCTGGTGTCAAAGAGGAAGGAGGTGATAATTCAGCTTTCCAATAAAGTCCAAGATCAGGGCCATGACTAGGATGGGGCAACTGGAGCCTTGCCCCTGGACACTAAATTTAGACAATACAGCATCTGGACCTGTCCCATCCTCTGGTCTCATGCATTGCCATGATGTAAGGCCCTGATCCTGGGGCTGGAAGGTAAAGGCATAAAATGACATAGAACAACAGTCTTCAAGAAAAGTTTGCTGGTCAAAGGTGCTAAACAATGAGTTAAGCAAGTAAAAAACTAATGGAACTGCACCCACTTCCCCTCAAAAACTCATCTGGTGGAGGAAGAGGAGGAAGACGGTGGCTTCAAGCAAAACACAGACTGATAGCAAAAGTAACTGTGGTGACACCACCCACTGCACACCACTGCAGAAAAGACAGAGCAATCATTGCCCAAGGAGGGCCTTATTCTGAGCTTAGAGATGTGGGTATTCATATTTAAATATGAATATACTGCCACAGGAGTCGATAACAAGGGTCCACCCCCCTGGAGCCAGACCAACCACTCACCATTCCACCACTGCCATGGGCTCCGCACTCCCTACCTATAGCTCCAGAGCTCACAGTGGATTAACCACTCCTGGCAGGAGGCGGGATGATGATCCACTCCTGGCAGAAGGCAGGCTAATCCACTGCGAGCTCCAGAGTGACAGGGAGGGAGCACAGAGCCCACAGCAGCGCTGGAAGGGTGAATAGATGGTCTGGCCCCAGGCAGCTGGACCCTCATTATCTGCACCTGTGGGGGGATATTCATATACGAGTACGAATACCCCCATCTCTGTTTCCAAGCTCTAAATAAAATATTACACGATTAGACTAAGAGTATATGTTTAATTGTGGGAAAATGGTTGTTGTATGAACTTTGAGTGGATAATTCACAATACAGCGGCGCCTCATTTAGCGATGTTAATTCGTTCCGAAAAAATCACTGCTAAGTGATTTCATTGCTAAGCGAAACTCGGTTTCCCATTGAAATGCATTGAAAACTGGATAATCCGTTCCAATAGGAATAAATTGCCATCCTTAAGCAAAAATTGCCATAGGAAACATCGCTAAGTGAAACGCGGTTCCACAATTGAAATGCATTGAAACCTATTCAGTGCCTCTCAATGGGGGGGAAATACAACAACAAATTAAAAAAGAGTCAGAACAAAGTCAAATTTGGTTAACAAATGGTTTATTAAGTGCACTTTATGATTTCAAACATTTTAAACAGTAAACTTTAACTTTATAAATAACAGAAAAACATTTAAAAAACAGCAAACATGAGGCTGTTTAAACCATTGTTAAGTGAAACAGGGGACCCAAAATTTAATCGCTATGTGAAGCATGGTCCCAACCATCACTAAGCGAAAATCACCCATAGGGACCATTGCTAAACGAAGCACAAAAACACTCCGAAAAAGTCATTGCTAAGGCACCACTGTATTTACAGAGTTAAGATCTATCTTTGTTCAGGCCCCAGATGTTTTCTTCTTTCTACTTGCATCAGTGACACAACTATCATTCCCTGCTGGTCTTGAGGCAGGAAAGCTTTTTTAATGAAGATCTAGAAGCAAACAAATAACATAGTAGACCCAGACAAAGAGTGGGTCAGAAGGCTGGGTGAGGATTCCTGGGAGACAGCTATCCAGTTGTCTCGTGTGCTCCCAGATGCATCTGGTGGGGCCACTGTGAGATACAGGGAGCTGGACTAGGTGGGCCCTTGGCCTGATCTTATGGCCTTAATGTCTTTTATTCAGACACAGACTGGTCTGGAAAGGGCTTCAGCAAATGCCTGTTATCAACACAATATTTTCCCGGGGCATCTTTAAAACAAATAACTTTATGTTTAGTTTAATCTTTGACATGATTAATTAAAAACCTTACACACTAATATTAATCTAAACTAAAATAGGTTTTGTCATCCTCTAATAAAAGTCCTAGATAACTAGGCCTTTTGTACTTGAAGAGAGGAACTAAGGATACAGGAACTAAGGATTCCGCCCACAATATAGCATTGGTTATAACAGAACTTGGTGATTGTACAAAAACCTTCCCCAAAGCAGTTATGCTTAGGAGCATCCAATGCTTTGGTTTATAGAATCATAGAATAATTGATTTGGAAGAGGCCTATAGGACAATCGAGTTGAACCTCCTGCTCTTTGCAGGAATCCAAATCAAAACAGATTGACAGATTACTGTCCATTTTCTGCATTCTGTGTGATGTAAGACACCACTTCCTTTGAGTTGCCTTCAGCAAATGTGACAAATAACTGGCCAGACAACTAATGCCAGATGTGGCTTTCTGAGGAGTATGGGGGGAGGCTGATTATGTCCTAATCCTTTGCTGCCTCCACTGCCACCTATAGGGCTGAGTGTCGGGACTATCTCAGTGTCATCACCCATTCAGAAGGGTATTTTAATTAGCAATCCTCCTGGTTTTTACACATAGAACTGGGTAAACCTGTCCCTTCTTTTCCTGAAGGTGTGAGGGTGGAACTCTAAGCAGGACTTTTCCTGGCTACACCTGAACACTAGAAAAGAAATCCCCTTTTTTTCTCATTTATGGAAGAATGAGAGACCCCTAGTTTAAAAGGCACCATCCAAGTACTGGTACTCAGCAGGTAAACAGAAACCTTTCACCAACCCCAAAACTAACACTCAGTGTCTGGTTTTTGTGTCTGTTGTAATAAATTTAGAAATCTCCTGAGCACCTGGCAGAAAATTGTCAATATGAGAATCAATGCCCTATGATGAAATTTTAGGTTTGCATGTATGTATTTGTTACTGAGTGTTCTAAACAATTGCACCCATAGTGAAGGCAGAAGAAAATTTTATTGAGCTACTGAGTTGAAACACTGGAAAAACAGAACTTTTACTTAACACAGGAGGTAGACCCTGGCACAGATCTTCTAGGCCCCCACTTTGTTGCCAAGCAATGTTACCCCACAAAACTGCCAGAGCTCCTGCATCCCATTCTTTGAGATTTCGCAGCCATACCTGACAGCAGAGGGTGGGTCTTTATGATGTCACAGGGGCAGGGCAGGCAATTGCTGGAAAAGGGACCAGAACTGGTTCTGGGCCAGCTGATTATGGAAAGGAGCATAACAGGAATCTGTGCAAAACTGAACTAGCAAGGTAATGTGGTAACCAGAAAGGAAGGGGGCTTTTTTTAATGGATAGACAGGTAACAAAATGTGTCCAACTCCCACAACAATTATCGTTTCTACCAGGGCTCTATCCTTCATTGGCCAGAATCCTAATGGGGATTTATGCCAGTGTAAGCATAATGATAATAGTTAAGTATAATGACCCTACTGTGGTTTGTAGAATGACAGACTATGACGCAGGTAGGCCTGGTTTCAAATCCCCACTCAGCCATGGAAACTCACAGGGGAGGGAGATGGTACTGGTAAGGCCACTCCTTAAGTATCTCACTTACCCTCCTTGAAAGTCCTATTAGCATCACTATCAATCAGTTGTGACTTGGCAACATATAACTACAGAGTATAATTATGTAAATTGCAGTAGTAAACTGCTGCTAATTAACATGTTGCTAGCATATAGGATGGAATATGTTTTAACTAACTAACTAAGCCCTCGTTACGTGCCAACTCACACAATCATCCTGTGAGCTGGATTGCAAATGACAACTTGTTGATTAGTGGGCAGATTACCACAGTATATCTTGAAGGGAAGTATAAAGGAATCCCAGCAGAGTAGCAGAAATGTGTCTATGGCTGCAATCAGATCGAGGACCTAACTCATTACTTATTACTCTGCCCTCTCTATGAAAATCTCAGAGAAAGATTTTTGTGTCCCGTTATTCAGCTGTAGCCCAACTGTACTTCAATGGAAATAATAGTAAAACTACGCGCTGATACACAGCTGTATATTATGTACTCTGTTGCACAATTTGCTCTGGCAACTAAGAAGCTGAAGCTTCGATTTGTTAAGGTTCATAATATTACATAAATGTTGAATATAGTGACTTTGATATTATACACTGTGCCACCATTCCCAGAACAGGTTTATTGACCCCTGGGGCATCCTTTTGTTTTAACCGTTTTTATGTAAGTCTGCCTATGGCCAGAAACGATAAAGGTACAATGTGTAATTAGAGACAATTCACAGCCTCAATTTAACAACTACATGTAATCTCTCTTCCATGCTCCCTTCCCCTTCTCCCTGGCTCTTTGGTGCAAAGTGAAACACCTTTGTGCTGAGCCAGTGAACGCTGGCACTAGCTGGGACACACACATACCCTTCTAATTGTCAGTGGTAGAGAATGCTTGGAACATGTCCTTTACAATTAAGCTGGGCATCTGGTCTTCAGTCAGTCATTACTGGGGAAAACTGAAGTTGTGTTTATAAGAACCACTGGCTTTGTTTAGTCTACCTAGATTATACCTTCTGTATTGAAAGCCTGATCAATTACATATTAATCCTTGCCATTTCTACCACACTACCACCACCTCAGGCACATCTGCTGTCTTGTTTGTGTGGAACCTTTGCTGAATTGAAAAGTTCCACAATGATGAAGGTGGAGACTATAAGTGCTCTGAAAGAAATGCAAGGTCGTAGGAAGAGTACTGCCCACCCCTCCCAGCCTCTCACTCCTCATATCAATATTTCTCACTCTCTCTGTGATAACCTTGTGGTACCTCTGTGATAAGCTACCATTTCTTGATCCTTCCTGGCACTGACAGTTCAGTTCTTCCCAGTGCTGATTGGCTGTTGGAGAATAAGGGGAAAGTGCACTCCAAACACCCCAGATCCTGCCCAGATTACAGCATTATTCTTGGCTCCCCTAAGGAGATCATTTAGGTAATTCTCCCCTTCCCTGCCTTTTGTATTTACTGAGAACATTTTCTCCACAACAGCATGTGTGGTGTCAAAAATGAAATGCAAGCAGATACTGTTATGTCAGAACCTGTCCCATGTGCATAGTGGAGCAAAATCAGGGTTGTTTTCAAATGTCACCTTGTATACCCCAGCCTGGAATTTAGAGACTTATGTAACTAAGGTCAGTTTCCCAAAGAAATGCTCTTTTTTGAAATCCAGGCCCAAGTGTTTGGATGTGGTTAAGGATCCTGATCACTCACACTCCTGCCTTTTATTTTTCTAGGCCTAGTTTAATGCAACTGACAGGAGTTGTGGCTTCCTCTTTCATCAATCAGACACAAAGCATACAATTGGCCAACCTTCTCTAGCTTGCCACACTCCAGCTATCTTAGGGTATATTTATTTATTTATTTATTTATTTATTTATTTATTTATTTATTTATTTATTTATTTATTTATTTATTTATTTATTTATTTATTTATTTATTTAT